ATTGGAATATTAAATCATCAGGAATGTCAGTTTACGGAAATTTTCTCCATCACTATCAGTGATCTCAAGTTGTTTTATTTGACTCAAACTCATAGGATATTTAGATAAAAAGGAATAATTAAAAAATTAAAGAGTGGATAGTTTTTCGATAATACAAAATTTTTCAAGCATGCAAACAGAAAAAGAAAAATTATAGAATTTTAATTATCAATTAACACAAATTCTAAGTATAGAATATACTTATTTTCTTTTATATATATATTATAATAGACACAGTTATCATTCAATCATATTTAAATGTTTTTAATATTTTAGTTATTGTTGTCAGTGAAAAGAGAATGTTATCTCAATTGGATCGAAAAGTAACAATGATGATGACTTCGTAGATTTTGATGATCTTTAATGGTGGCATCTATAAGAACTTTGATGTGAAAATTACTATAAAGTTAGAAGTGTATAAAAACGAGGGAATAAATACACATCAAGGCATGTGAGTCCTATTACACAAGGATTCCTCGGTGAAAAAGGTCATTTCACTCGATCAAATAAAGATTTTTACGCTTGATATTACTTTCTTGACTATATAAATATTTTTTTACAAAAAAAAATTCTTTAAAAAATTGTTTTTTTCTTCTTTGTAAAGTATAATTGTGTCATAATCTTACATAAAAAAAATATAATATATATATATATATATATATATTTTTTTACTTAAAATAACAAAAAAAATTACACATAATTAAATTAATGTAAAATTATAATAAATCATAGTATAAAATATTGTGACACTAAGTTAACTAATTGGTTTTCAAGTAGTTAAAGGTTGTGGAGTGACTTTAAGAGCATAGGGTCCCTAATCAATGGTTCAGTTGACCTTGAAAAGAAAGGTATATAAGATTTTTTTTGAAAGTCGAGTCTCATAAATTCAATTTATCATAGACATAAGAGAGAGAAAGTGGAGTGAGAAGCTCTAGAGCTCTAATACTTATTCTTTTCTTTCTAGATTCCTCAAAGGTGTGAGGGCTTTTGTTGATCTTTGGAGTGATGATCCAAAGTTGTTGGAGTTGAGGATTGGTGAAAGTGGTGAGTTTTCTCATAATTCTTCTCTTCATCTTCCTCATTTTTTCTTCTTAGTGGCTAGGATTTGTGACAAGGGAAGCTAGACTTGATTCTTGTTGAGTTGTTTGGTTGTATGTGTGTAAAATTGTTTAAATTCTTGGCTATTAGGCAAAATTCGAGGTCAGATTTTGATGCATGTTGAGATTTTGATGTTTTGAGCTCATGGGGGTGATTTTGGTGAATGATGCAAAGTGACTTACATATGTTGTCTCTTGATGATTTTGAGTTGTATATGGTTAGTATGTGGATTTAGATGCATTGCATGTTTGGTTGGGTTGTTTTTTAGGTGGATTGAAGTAATTTTTTAAGTCTGCAATAATAAAATTCTGATATGACATCAAACGCACTTTCATTGCATTGAGCACAGTTCCAACCAAAGGTTTTTGTCTTGGTCGTGTTGGACGCATGATTGTTGGTGTCAAGCACGAGGAAGAAGACTTGTCTTGGGTTGGGATGGTGTCGAACGTGATTTGAATGACGTCGAGTATGAGAATATGGGAGTCTTTGACTTAGTGATATTGGGTGCTACTATAAGGATGGCAAGTAAATTTGTACCCATAGGTAAAATTCGAATATGTCCCGACTTTGGTGGATAATACCCGATTTGATCAAGTACGAGTGCAGGTATGGATAATACTCGATTTATTGAATCGAATATGGGGACATGGATGTATATATACATACATGTCTCGTTCTGTACTCATACCCACTTTAAATTTATAGAAACTTAATTTATTTTTTAGAATGTACTTAACATTTATATAATTCTTATCCTATTTTAAATTTACTTCAAATAAAATTTAATTAATATAATTTTATAATTGTTACTATTTATTAAAAAATGTATTTTTGCAAAAAAAAAAAAAAGTGAGAATGGGTATACCTGATACCCAATGGGGATAAGGATGAGGATGCAAATTTCATATCCACTAGGTACGGGATGCAGATAGGTATAAGGTACGGGAGCGAAGACGAAGATACCAAAACTCGTATCCCCCCACCTCGTTCTCATCCCTAGGCACCACTGTGGTTATGTTGGATGAGAGTCAAGTAGAAACTTTCTGCTTGATATGAGGTTGGGCATGGGTTTGGTCATGCCAAACATGAGGTCTTAGGGGATCTCCACCTCGGTCACGTTGGACATGGTTTGGATGGTGTTAGGTGTGAGCGAGATAAAGAGTTCCTCGCCTCAATGGCACCAACTGCAATGTATGTTGCGCCAGCACGAGATGCATGAACGATGGTTGTGTTTTTTAAGGTTGTATGATGAACATGAATAGATGTTTTGAGTTCTATTGCATGTTATATGGTGTACGATGATTGCTCTATATATGTTGATTGAATATGACACGTAGATGTTTGTATGGTGTTGGATGATGACGAGCATATGTATGGTGTATATTTATATGATGTTGATCTCTATATGCATTGACTGGATGTGATATATATAAATGATGTATGCATGAGATGTGGATGTTAAAAATGTGGCGTTACATTAAGACATGTTGGCTAACTTAGAATTTGAGGAGAAGAAAATGTTTTGAAAATTAAAGATCCCATATAGGGAATCTTGGAGTGGTGCTCGAGTAGACCACGATTAAAAAACTCTTATTGAGTATGTGTGTTTCTTGGAGTGAGTTTTGATGTGTGTTGATGTCTTCTTTAGGTCCTTATCTAATGGTTGAGTAAGGTACGAGGTCAAAGGTAACAATCTTTAATCAAGTAACTGAAAATGTTGCATGGTTCTTTGAGGATAATCAGTGAATGAACTCCATATGTGACTTGATAATACATCTCAAGGTTGTAATAAGCTTATATTCAACTATATACGCCTAACAGTAGAACTAAACTTTTTTGGTATAAGTGACAAAATCTAAGAAACCAAAGTAGGGATTAGCATCCCATTTTGTTTTGATCCGACGCTTTAGGTGTGAAAACGATTGGATAGGGTGGAGTCACTTAAACCGCTCATTTTGTTAGGAGAACCCCGCTGGTGAATGTGTGATGATGCATTAGTTGTGGTGTTTACATATAGTGTACGGTATGGTGTGATTATGTACATTGATGGATGTTTTGTTTGACATGGTTTGAATGAGATGCATGTTTACCTTTCACATATGGTTATGGTATGATGTTGTATGATATAAAATTATTTTTATGCTTACATGTTTTCAAACTCTAACTTACCCCTTTTATTTTCATGTGTTTTAGATTACGATAATCATATCGTATGGAAGCAAATTAGGGTTAAACTTGAGGAATTGTTGTTGACAATAGGTTATACAGTTTATCTTTAAAAATTATTGTATATTCATATTCTATATATATTCACACACATACACATACACACACACATATATATATATATATAATTAAATTTTTTATAATTTTAGTAAACTAAATTTTGTTTTTAATGGTAATGATTCTATATAGCATGACAATTATGACAAATCATTACAAATAATTTTCACGGTTTATCATAATAAGAAAAAAAGTTAAATTAACAATAAAAATTAAAATTAAAATTAAAATACAAGGAGACCATAAAATATTAATAAAAAATATATAACGTTATTTTTCTTAAATAACTTGTTAAATTTATAAATTAAATATCACAATAAGAAATTAATATTGTAATTTTATAATTAATGAATTTTAAATAACTATAAAATATTATATCTTATGAAAATTATATAATTATTTAAATTTTATTATTAGATTAACAAGAAAAAGTGATAAAAACAAATAGTATTTCCTATCTAATAATAATAAAAATTTATAATAAAAAACACATTAAAATAATATATTAAAAGTTTATAATGAAATGTTGCATTGATTTGATTTGATTTTATTAAAAAATATTAAAAGTGAAAAAATAATATGCATGATAAATTATTTAATTTATATTTTAATTAATTAATAAAATTAATGTGTTTTTTTTGTATTTATTGTTCAAGTGATAATGAATAAAAAATATTAATTATATTTTATTTTTATATTTGTATGACTAAAAAAAAATTGGACTTCCACCTCATGAAAATGTTTGTGTGAAAAAGTTGAATAAAAATCATTTTTGTATATTTTCTAAAAAAATTTTATTTTTAAATAGTTACAAAATATAAATAACCAATATTTTCTCTTTAAGATTTCTAATAAAGTAAAAAATTTGACAATAATCTTTTGATAATGTATCAACAAATAATAACCTTTTGATAATGTATAAAAAAATAACCTTTTCATAACTATTGATTTTGAGTTACAAAATTGAGATTAATTAAAAAAAATGAAAAAATAGCTAATATATTATTAATAATATAAAATAATTTTATACTATTTATCAATTAAATATTATTATTAATATGATTTATTTATCATAAAATCAATAATTTGTCATAAATGATTTTAATTAAATAATTATATATAATAATTTTATACAGTTAACTAATGAATGTCATGACTTTTTATTTATTATTTTTAAAAATAAATAATTTATTATAAATAATAATAAGTAGCTCGATGATAATATAAAATTATTTTATACACATAAAACTTAAATAATATTATCAGTTTTTTTTTACACCAATCAAGAGCTTAAAAGCTGAGATATCCTCTAAAACATTTTTAAATTTTAAATAATAAAATAAATAGAACATGCCTTTATTTTAATTATTTTGTTTCTAATCAAATTTATTTAAATATATTTTAATGTCTAAATGTTTATATCTTCCGTGGATCATGATAGTTACTGACTTCCTGCATGGTTAACACTTAACACCACAACAGTATAATTTAGAGTAAAAAATTAAATGGGAAAAAGAAAAATACTGAAATAATTTATAAAGTTATATTTAAAAAGTGAATAATAAAGGGAGCTCCAAAAAAACCCTGCAACTCAATCAAACCTATAGGAATGGCGAAGAAGAATAAGAAGCAGACAACAGATGCCGAGGTCGAGCCACAGTTCAACGGCGACACTGATGATTCTCACACTAAGAAGAAGCTTAAGAAAAAGAAGAACAAGAAAATACCCACAGTTACCATGGCCGTGCCTGCTTCCATCATCGACAACGTTCAAACTCTCGAACTCGCTACTCGGGTAGGCTACCCTTCAATCCAAGACCCCTTTATTCCATTCTCTCATTCCCTCTTCATTCTCAAAATCCTTTTTTTCCCCCTTTTCAGTTGGCTGGTCAAATTGCTCGCGCCGCAACTATTTTCCGAATCAACGAGGTTGCTAAGCCTTCTGTGCTCTCTACATTTTCACATCTTGCTTATTATCATTATTGTTGGTATTGGGTATTTTTTATTTTTATTTTTTTTTGCTGATATGGATAATTGTTATCTTAATACGTAGGTGGTTGTGTTTGACAATAAAACTAAACCGGATGATGATTCCGTGATGGATAATTCAGATGATGAAAGTAGTGCTGCTTTTCTGATGCGAATATTGCAGTACCTCGAGACACCTCAGTATTTGAGGAAGGCTCTGTTTCCAATGCATAACAGCCTAAGATTTGTGGTTGGAACAATTCACTAACGTGCTTCTTTCCTTGCATTTCTCAAGTTTCTTAGTTTTGTTGAGTGTTAGTGTCGTCCATGTTTGACTTCGGTTATTTGTATTGCACATTGTTTGCAGGGCCTGTTGCCACCCCTTGATGCTCCACACCATTTGCGCAAACACGAGTGGGGACCGTATCGAGAAGGTAGGCCTTCGCATTCTAATATAATTTCCTAGGTCATTTCTTGTAGTGGATGAGAAGTGTACTTTTTTTTTGGCAGCAGATGATTTAGTTTCCATGATTGTGTGGGTTGGCTTTTATACCGTAGATTGTAACTCATAGCTTGTACTTTAGGAATGGATAGGACAGATTAGCAATGCTTATATAGAACCTTTATATTTGGGACAAAGTATTTCTTTGAAAATTTATGAATGTCTACCTCATTTTGGGGTGGAAAGATGAGAGAAATAGAGAGAAGAAAGAAAAGGTAGATTGAGAAGGTGATAGATGTGATATATAATATGATAAGAAATGTAGACAGATATAAAGAAAAATGGAGTCAAAGTGAGTTGTAAGAGAGTGAGATGTATGTTAATAAGGACTCTTCTATTTAGTACTCCTTATGGTCTGTTGCCACACTTTCAAACTGCCATTTAGATATGATTAAGGGTTATATGCTTTTGCTATCTATTTTTAACCTGAAAATTTTGTTTCACAAGGGATACAACTTAGATGCAATAGCTTAGGTGATTTTGGTGTTGTTAAAACTGGAGCTCTACAATAATCAGGGCAACATTAAAATTGATGCTAGTAATTGAGGTAACAGTAAAACTCCAATTTTAATTGGATTACACCATCAATTGTACCTAAGGTTTGCTCCCAAGTTTTGTCATTTCACGAGTGTGATTGGTAGATATGGAAAGATTTGAAACATATGGTTTGCACAGGCATCAGATGAGCTTCTCTAATTTGAGCAATACTTAGCATTTGGGCTAGTCGTAATTTGTCATAACAAATTATATATTAAACTCAAGAAATTTCTACCAAGAAGCTATAAGACTATAGATGTTCTATGGCAGTATTGTCAGGCAATGAATCATCAATGGGCAAAAAAATAAGTGCAGTAAGGACGATAATACTGAAGTAAATGAGAAGACTTGCAAGAAAAGATAAAATTAGGAATGAATTTATTTGGGATATGGTTGAAACAGCATGCCTAATAAGTAAAATTGCAAGGAGCTCATCTATGGTGGCTTGCTTGTGTAATAAGTGGAGGCTCTAGTTAGAATGTTCAGTTGGAAAGGGTAGAGGAAAACCTAAGAAAATTTTAGGAGAAACCATTAAAAAAGACCTTATTCTAAATGATTTTACTGCATATTCAGTTTTTGATGGAGTCCAATGGTGTCAATTAGTCCATTATTCTATCTTACTTGGTGGGATAATTCTTGGTGATTGTGGTTGTTGGTTTTCTATTTCTTTAATGGGTATGTTGATGGTTGGTGCTGTTTATTGAATTAGTGCCACCTGAATAATTTAAAAGGACATTTTATCCTCTTTTTTGTATGGTTCTTTTACAAAAAAACTGTTAAAGCAGAAACATTTTTAGCATTGGCATTGCTGTTAGATGTTGTTTTGTTCCATGGTTACTCTGGCCAGTTTTTGATATATTGCAATAACTTCTTAGGTGTTACAGTAAAAGAAAGAGACTCAAACTCTGGGGCAACGCTAGTTGATGTTGGGTTAGTGAAGGTATGGGTATACTGTATACATGTCATAAATTACTGGCACCAAAGCTTAACTTTTTTTTCCCCCAATACTTTTGATATTAGTTAGTAGTTAGGGGAGAGGGGAGGGAAAATTATTTCCTTTTATTCTCTTCTTTCTTTTTTTTCCTTCATTTTACTTATGACTTCCTCCACAAAGACATTTTATCCTTTTATCTGCATTTTCACTCATGTCTGGCATGGAGTTGTTTCAAATTTGGCATTTGACCAAAGGTTCAACGATGATGTCTAGAAATACCATCATAGCATTTCCTGTAGCTCTTTCTTTTTTCCTTTCCTCTTCTTCCATTTTAATTTGCAAGTTATAATGTTTTTGATTGTTAATTTTATTTTGTAGATTAGATCACTTTTGTCTGTTTCTGTTCTTTTAATATGGCTATTAAGTAGCTTCAGTTTATTTGTGTATGGTCTGATTCAGTACACAAAATATGCAGAATGTTACAGTTGACCAAATATTTGAACCTGGAAGAAGAGTTACTGTTGCCATGGGTACCAATCGCAATTTGGATTCTGGTATTGAATAGATCTTTGCTTTTTATTTTTTAGGCTTAAAAATGTTTTTGGTTCCTTAAGTATCATAGTTGTGCAATTTTAGTTCCTTAAATTTTAATTGATCAATTTTAGTCCTTTGCAATTGTGTGATTTTAGTCGTTCAAATATTACAATTATAAAATTTTTGACTTATTTAAGTTGCATTATTAATTTTAGTAATAATAAATATATATCATCTAATACATAAATGAAAAATATAGTATATATAACTTAAATAGGTTAAAAATTGTATAATTGCAATACTTGACAGACTAAAATTGTTCAATTAGAACCTTGAGGATCAAAATTGCACAATTGCAATACTTGAGGGAAAAACACAATTAAGCCTTTTTTTATTTAGTTCTGCTTAAGATATTTGATGATCTTTTCTCGATGAAAATTGCACCATACAATATTACTATATTAGGGATCAAACAATGTTGTGCTTTTTTTGATTGTGCCCTTGACAATTATTTTGAAGTATTCTTTTGTGTCCCTTGTGCTAACAAATAATGGTAATTGAGGGTTCTTTTTGTTTTGAAAGATAACTTTTAAAATGAAAATCCTTTACAGAATTTATCTATTTTTTATTTCAAGTCTGCTAAGGTTAGCATGGGATGCCCGTATTATTGCTAGAGGATCCCTGCAATACTACATGTCCCTGTGAGATATATTTAAATCTGGAAAGTTGATGTTCATTCAGTCGAATACTTCGTGTTCATATTAAATCACTGCTTCTCAGCATTACTGCCCTAAGTCCTATAATTATGAATCTAAAAGGAATCACTGCACCTTCATTACATATTAATCTATTAATGAAGAAGTTACATTTAGACAAGACAATATTGAGGAAGTGTAGCCATACAGTTATTAAATGAGTATTGAGTGCCAAATGCATTTAACATCTTGGATATATGTTAAGCTGATTTGCAATGCTGTACATCATCTAGATTTACCACGCCAGGTTGTCTCGTCATCCAAGCCTAGGGAAGAAGGAACATATTGGGGATATCAAGTGCGTTATTCACATAATATTAGCTCAGTATTTAAGGATTGTGCATACAAGGTATCCTCCCCCTCCCGAACAGAGAAATCTGCCTTGTAATATCTATATTGTAATAGTTTTTAAACTCTAACTCTTCTCACGAGCTTGTTATTACTTATTGTGACAGGGTGGCTATGATTTTATTATTGGTACCTCTGAGCATGGTCAGATTATTAAGTCATCTGATCTTGAAATACCTTCTTTCAGGTACTGTGTTATAACATCAGCTGCAAAATAATTAATGTTAGATTGCGTAGATGCTGGTTTTAACTTTTTTTTTTTTATAAATTTTTTTCTTTATTTTTTATATTTCTTTTTTAAGTTAACAGAGCTTATAGATTCTTAGAGATGGGTTTTGAAAGCCTTTCCTACAATTTTGCTTTCTTTTTGTTCGCTATATGTTTCTAAAATGATAATATTCTATATGGGTAAGGATTGCAAACTGTGGCTTGCTCCTAAGACACATGACAATAAAGTTATGGTAAGTCAACAAGTCAACAACAGCCATCAATCACTTTGTTTCTTCTGTAAAATTTCATTGAAACAGGAATCTAGAGTCCGGACCGATATGACCAGGAAGTGCCATATGGTTGTGTGTTGGTAATGGGTTCATTGATGTGTTGTGAAAATGGTTTCTTATTATCATAATATGTACTTCTGCAACTATAAATTTGGCTGATGTATGAAGAGGTTTTCTTATCTTTGTAACTTTCTACTTGTATTGAGCTTCCCTCATTGACTGAATTTGAAATATAAAGTTGAAAAGAATTGTCTGTGATGATGCAAGTTTTTTTTTTTTTTTTACTTGATTTATAAATTCTTTGTTTCTCTAATTGGTAGACATTTATTGATTGCCTTTGGTGGACTGGCTGGGTTGGAAGAGAGTATTGAAGAAGATGATAACTCGAAGGTATGACATAGTTGCATTAGTTATTTATGTGGTTGTAATTGTGAGACTGCTGTCAGTGAGAGATTCCATAAATTTGCCAGAATCTTTGGGTACATACCTTTTTTGTTTTTGCATTTCTGTTTGATATATTAATTGGAAGTGGAAAACTGTATGGGTCATAATCCTGAATATGACTGAGAGTTGAGAGTTTCCTTCTACATGTTCAGGCTCTACTTCAATGAGATGTTTGTGCTTCTTAGGTTTTAATGCCACGATTTATGTACTAATTTCATTCTAATTCAGCATTAACTAACTACATGGATTGTAATATTGAGTGATATTGGATATCCCCTCAAGTTGTTTAATCTTTTGAGAGTTTAAATAAGAAAATGGAAGAAATATGGTACTGAATATAAATTTTCTTGCTGCTCTATTCCCAAAAATATGCAGGGGAAAAAGGCACAGGATATATTTAATTTATATTTAAATACATGTCCAAATCAGGGGAGCCGAACAATTCGAACAGAGGTATTGTTTGCCTAACTTTTCCTAGTCAATTTGCTTATCCTATATTCTTGCATATCCAGTTTTAAAGTCACCGCATAATTTTCATCTTTTTGAACAGGAAGCTATTTTTATCTCTCTTCAGTACTTCCAAGAACCAATCAACCGAGCATTGCAAGGTTGAATATTGTATAAGTTTTAAAATTCGTTTAGTTAAGGCACTGATCCTCCAAATTAAGGATGACACTGAGACAAAGGCATTAGTTCAAAACCCAAAGTAGAAATTGTCTCTATGCCTCATCCCAAAGTGGCTGTTATGTGGCAGGATTCTTCGTTCAGACTCTTTTGGATGTTGTAACGCAATCTGTTGTTTACCTAGGTTGCAAAACTTGCAAATAGAAGTGTTGCATCTATACATGTGACTCGGTAATGGGAATTGCTATTTTCATTTTTATTTTTAAGAAGAAAGATCCATTATATAATGAAGATCATGGAAGGCTGACCAAGCCAAAATGTCATGGTCTACATCAGCTTGTGCTTGGGAAAACACTTCCTCAAGCCAAACCATCTCGTGTAGAGAGAGCATGTCTAGCTAACCGGTCTGCAACTAGATTGCAATTCCTACTGATGTGTCAGTTTTGCTATAGTATTTTTACCTGTTTGGGAATGGATATTGAATCTATTGTATAAACTCGTATTACATCGGAAGGAAGAGATGTAAGATGCTAATGTTATGCACGATTGTGTTAAGCTTCATGAATCATGATCACTCTGCGTTTGTTCGGAGCCTTATAAAGATGCTTTAAATTGAAGGTTTGATACGAACATAAAGTAGTGTCGATATGACATTATTCTAACGTTAGAGTAAGATGCGACTAATATAAGCGTTTTTGGCGCAAATGCTAGGGGCGGTTTTTTAATTGTTTTTTCGAAAGTTGAAAGTGTCTTTTAACTAAAAGTTTGAATGCAACTCATTTAAAGGCATTCACAAGTTTGTTTTTCAAGTTATGTTTAGTTTGGACCTCTCATAATGTAGAATTATGATCTAGTAACTAGATGTGGTTTTGATTCTTTGAAAGATGTGCATTTTAGAAAAAATGCTAACTCATAATCATTAACTGAATATTAATTGTTATATTATATTAACTTTATAGTTTACTAGCAAAAAGACAAGTATTATTGTGCTGTCTAATTTTTTATTTTTGCAATAAAATATAAAATGGGAGAGGGAGAGAGGAGGTCGAATAAAAATTGAGTAAAATAGGTAAACCAAATGTATACACTCAAATGGAATCATAATTTTAATAATCAAATTTGATATTCACAGAATATATTTCTTAGAGAGTCAAATTCGTCTAGAATTTGTAACAGACGTTTCAGCTTTTAGAATGGTTTACACAGCTTTTATGAATTGGATTCATACAAAATGGATTTGGGATCTCTTAGGAAGCCGGCTTAACCAATCTGCAACTGCATCACTTATTGACTAATGTGATCTTTCACACTTGGGTCAGACATGTTTGCAAGGTGAGAGATAATATTTTTCCTTGTTAGCCTATGGTCTACATGAAAGGACCGTAGTTCACACATTATTATAAAAGACTGGCAAATAATTTTTATGTGCATGGCACGGATCCAAATACAATTTAATGTTAACCACAACCTTGGCAATTCAAGTTGTTTGCTACGTGGACATTGTTAGATTTCATGTTAAAATTAATTGACATGATACGAAGTTGTCCAACATATGTATAAATTGCACTCAAAGAATTATATAAGGATGGTGTCTATTAGAATAGACAAATAGATATCATGTTAAGTTTTATCTTAAAATTAATTGATATCAAGTAAAGTTGTCTAACAAATATATAAATTAAATTCAAAGAATTGAGATGTAGAACTTCCCCATAAATTTTAACATGGCAGCATCTTTTAAAATTCTTAGATCCTACATGGTTGATGGCTTATATCTTGTATTTTACCAACATTTCAATGTATGAGAAATAAAATTAAACGATGGAAACTTACTCTACTTACTTTGCTGACTATAGGGAGTCCATTATCCATGTAATGTGCCCTTTGAGGAGGCCTAAATTTATGATTGAAAAATTTATTTTGTCACGAATTTGGAGAAACCCCCAAAAATAGTTCTTTAAATCTTATTTCAAATTTCAAGATCTACATGACAAATCAAATAAAGTCAAACATAATTTTATACGGGGAGATATCTTCTAATTGTTATTGCATTTATTTATTAAGTTAGAAAATTTTGGGGATTAAAAAACTCTTTTTCTCATGAAAAACCACCTTTTATTTTTAAGAAAATCACTTAATTATTTTTATCGTGTTTGCTTAATCTTCTTGAAAAGAAAATATTTTTATTTTGATAAACTATTTTTATTTTCAGCAATGCTATTTATTAGGAGATAAAATAATAGAAAATCACACGGGAACTGAATCTTATTTCTAAATAATTAGTATTGTCGTATATGCAAGTTTATTATATATAAATAAAATTTGTGATAAATTATATATAAATATTATATATTTCAATAAATAAATTATGTTAGTTTAAAATTTATATAAATAAATGTTATTGAACATATAAATTATAGTATTTTATATTTGTGAAAAATAATTTATATAGTCATACAAGATTATTTTTAATTATTAATAATTTATTTTAAATTTAATAAATTTAATTTAAAAATATGTATAATATATAAAAATTCAAATAGACAAAAGTTTAAAAATATCTAAAAATATTTTTATTAAATAAAAATATCTAAAAACATTCTCTTTAAAAAAGAAATCTTTAAAAACACTTTTATATAAAATATTTTTTTTTTAATGAATGTACACAACATAATCATTCAAGTTTAATATATAGGGATATATTTTTTATTAAAAAGGTAAAAGAATGCAAATCTCGGTTTGACTTAAAAACAAAAACCTCTTTAGGGAAAGCGATTTTAACTTATAAGCATTTTCCTTTTATTTCTAGAATCACAAGTATATTCGACAGTTGAAAACTTTGTTCGAGTTGTAATACATAACAGGATGAAGTTAATACAAAGTTCGAACTCTGATTTCTTACTTAAGGTAATACATGAATTCCAAAATCATAACCAAACAAAAATAATAGTTTGTATAATTTTCCTCCGCATAAAATCTGCAGAATATTTATATATATATATATAGTTTTGATTTGTTTAAATAGTAAAAAGGAGTTTTAAAAAAAGATGAGGTTTATTAAAAAAAAAGGGAAGGGCAAAAAGGTCTTTGCAGGGAAATATAGAGGCGCGTTTGGAGTGAGGGAAAAAAGGAGTGGGTTGTTGGAAGTATATAACATAATTCGTCCCCAAATACGTTCATACCCAAAGAAGGCGAAGAGAGGGTTTTTGTCTCGCGGAGTAAACACAACACAAGACAAGGCGTGAGAGAGTTTGTGTGCGTTGCGAGTGAGAGTGAGAGAGTAATTGGGAAATTTCAAATATTGGTTAAGAAAAAAGAATAAGGGACCGTTGGGGTGGCTCGCGCGCGCCATGGGCACGGTGGTGATGAATGAGGAGAAAGAGAAGGTGAATGAGCACCACGCCAAGACCCTCATCTGTGCCCTCAACCTTCTCTCGCGCGACCTCCCTCTCCCCCCTCACATCCTCAACTCCGTCTCCTCCATCTACCGCCTACATGTACCCTTTCTCTCCGATTCCCTCTTTACATTCACCCTTTCCTTTTTTTATTTTTATTTTTATTTTTTATTTTATTTTATGCACTCTCCACCTTCCTCGCTACTCGCTCTGTAACGTTAATTGTTTTTCCTTTTCGGTTTCCTCTCTACCGCATTCGACTCCACTTAGTGTTGATGTTTACCTAACTGCGCACTTCTCTTGTTCTCTGCTTCTAGATTGTTCGTTTAAGTTAGTTGTATTGTATCGCTACTTAATTTACAGGTTATTGTTGAAATTGTAGGATGATGGTGTTTCTCTTGTTTGTTAATCCTTGTGCAGGCTGATGGAGAGGATTCTGGAGAGGATTTAGTAACGGATCTTGAAGATGCACTGTCCACGCAGCCTCGGAATTGTGTGTCAGGTTTGAAATTGGAGGAAGCAAGGAAGAGTCGTTACCGAAGTCAGATTCAGCATCGGTTGAATGAGCTTGAAGGTTAATGATTCTAGTCAAAATATTTGTGTTTATTTCAATGTCAACCTGGTGCGGAATTTGGATTTAATTTCCACATGGTTCCATGGTGCTTGTTTTGTTTACTGTTAGTTTGGGCAACACTTATATTTCCCCTTATATTTTGATAAGCTTCCTTGAGAGGGTTAATAGGATAAATTATCCTTCTGAAATCAAGTTAGCAGTTTTGAAACTTTATTGAAGTATTTCCAAATGACTTGAAGATATTTCTGAATATGTTGTCTGTTCATATGACCATATCCATTAAGTGGGAGTGGTCTCTAAGTTGCAGTTTTAACAATTTTTACTGAAGAACTGTGTTACTGTGTTGATCCAGAATTGCCTTCAAGCAGGGGAGAGGACCTGCAGACAAAGTGCTTGCTTGAACTTTATGGACTAAAGGTAAAATTGATTCTGGAATCTTTTGATGCTTAGTTATTGTGTGTCATGTCTATCTTTAATGCTTAGTATATTGCAAGCCGTATCTTAACTTTCACAAATTGATAGCTAAATTGTTCATACTTATAGTATGAGTATGACACGTAATTGTCCTTTATTTATTGTAAGTCATGACATGTATTGGGAAAAACCCAAGTCCCACATTGACTAGAGATTAGGCAATTGAATAGTATATAAGTAGAAAGCAACTCTCACCTTACAAGCCGGTTTTGTAGGGTTGAGTTAGGCTTAATCCACTATTCTAACATGGTATCAGAGCCATTTAGATCCACTTTAAAAATGGGTCACCCACCATTGATGCATGCCTCACAGGCATGAGGGGGTGTATTGGGAAAAACCCAAGTCCCGCCAATCCTAGATCATTAAAAAGGGTCACCCACCATTTATCCACGTACCAAGCTCAATAGTGCTGGACGTGAGAAGGTGTATTGGGAAAAACTCAAGTCCCACATCGACTAGAGATTAAGCAATTGAATAGTATATAAGTGGAAAGCAACCCTCACCTTACAAGCCGGTTTTGTAGGGTTGAGTTAGGCTTAATCCACTATTCTAACAACATGTTTACCTTTGTGAATAGGTTTCTTTCTTTTATTAGAAGCTAGACAAAATTGTTTATGAGATGAGACAGACAAAAGTTGTCCTTTTTCCCCCAGCTTTCTGTTGCCCCTGAAGTGTGACCAAGTTTGACTTGTATAATAAGGCAAACATATGCAACACTTTTATAGCTTACTCATTGTTATAATGAAAGGAACAGCTCAATAATTTCTACTGAGGAAATTAGCTCAGCTTATAACTTTGTTTGTTATCAAATGCAACCGAGAAATGACAAGAATTGTGTCCTTGTTGGCAAGGACTTCTTTTCTGGCAGTTGGCAGAGTTGCAGTTGAAGGTTCGGTCTGATATAAGTTCTGAATACTGGCTCAATACTAAGTGTGCATATCCTGACAGGCAATTGTTTGATTGGGGCATGATGAGGTTGCGTCGTCCATTATATGGTGTTGGAGATCCATTTTCCATGGATGCTGATGATCAATTGAGGAAGAAACGGGAGGCTGAGGTGATTCCCCCTCCCCCTACCTCCACCCTTTTGTGGATTTGAACTTGGTTTCTGTATCATGGATATCATATATTATAGTTTTTACATCTGC